GCAAATCAAATATTTGCGCGATACATCCGATGTGTCGTTCGTTTAAAAATTTGTAATACAATGCTGCCACGCGTTAGAATCCTCTCCTCTCTGCTCCCATTCTCGATCATTATATTGAAACGAAACAAAGAGAGAGAGAGAAGGAAAAAAAACGGAGAAATTTCGAAAACTCATTCGCCTCATACCCTTCGATTAGATTCGAGGAGCGGGTGACGAAACGATGGTGGATGCGACCCATCCACGTAGTTTTCATATTTCACGCACGAACGGATCGTATCTGGCCCCGGTATTGGGCCAATTGGATAGTCGGATTTATCGTCCGTCAAAGCGATCGTCGCCCGGAACAGTATCGTTCCGCGCGTTTACACACGCGTTGAAAAATCAATGTTTACCCCCCCGTGTAACGATCGTTATCGATGGCGAAAACTCCATCGATAGATGGAGAAGAAATTGGCGAATAATTCGCGAGAAATCTCCCCCTTTCCATTTTTCGACTCGATTCGAGGAGAAATAAAAAGAAGAAGAAGAGGAACTCGTATTTTATCGGGCTCGAAAAGTGGAACGGAATTTTACAACGCGCAAAATTCGCATGCTCCCCCCTTAATTATCCGCTTTAATTATTCGCGTGGTCGGGGAGGAAAGAGGAGGAGAGAGGTGTTTCGATCGATGGATAATCGGCCATTTAATCCGTTGATTTCCAGTGAAACCGTTGACGACGACCATAAGGAGGCCGGGGAGGAAGGAAGTGGGGAACGAGTCTCTGCTCGCCGGGAAACGGTACGAGGTTGAGTGCGAGACGACGGGCTCGAGGCCACCCGCGGTGATAACCTGGTACAAGGGGCGAAGAAGACAGCTGAAGCACACCAAGGTGGGAGAAACTAGAGAGATCCCTTCCTAAAATATTTCCCCTTTAGGTTTTTTCGTCGAGAAGTTTCGAGAGATTAATAACGTTCGATCGATCGAAATCGAAAATATTCGCTGTACGAGAGAAACCGTTAGAGCCATAGGATAATTATAATCTTTCTAATTACCAGCGTAGCCGTCACCTTAACGAAATTTGTCGCGTTTCCGAGCGGGGAAGAACGAAAGCGCGCCGGCATTTAATCAACAGCTAAGCTGCTTATTATATATATAGCCCACGCCTCGCTACTTGTTAATTAATTAATCCGGCCCGTTTCTCCGGACCCACTCTGTTTCGATATCTCGTTCGAATCCCGCCCCTTCTCTCCCTTACCGACACCCTCCTGTAATAGGAAGACGATCGAGTCCTCTTCTTTTGCCTCGAAAAACCGCAGGCAAGATTTATTATACGCGATTTCCTCGCGGTCGCGTAATTGGAAAGCGATTTTAACGAGCCCCTGTTGAGAGGATCGTGGTGGCGAGAATTCGGCCGCCTCGATTTCCCTTCGCTTCCCTCGAGGGAGGCAAGTCTGCTGTATCCTTGGGAGACAGAGTTCCGATGGATGGATGGATGGGGGAAGAGGGAAAGAAGAGGTTGAGACGCGGTTGAAAAGGTCGAAACGCTTCGGGGTTACCGATAACTATACCCCTCGGCGGCGAATCTTTTCCTTCCAAGAGATTCTCGATACGGAAACAGAGTCAAAGCGATGGAACGGAGACATCCATGGAAGTGGTGGAAGTGGTGGGAGGGGAAGGAGGAAAATCTGCGGTTGCGCCGCTTTCTCTCTCTCTCTCTCTCCTCTCTGTCTCTCTCTCTCTACGCTCGAGCGGATCGGACTCGTGCAAGTTGGAGTTGTTCGAAAGAGGGTTCGAGACGACGAGGGTTGAAAGGTACGATCAGAGGGCAGCGCTCGAGAGGGGCGTTCGATTGAATTAACCAACCTACACCTGTCGACTCCAGATATTTTCATTGGCGGTATGCTAATTGCCCATTACGATTTAACCGAATCGCCGTTGCTTTGAAAAGCAAATAGTTTCTCTTCTCCCGTTTCGTTCGTTCGTTCGTTCTTTGGTCTTTGTCGCGTTGCGTGGAAATACGCCATCTTGCGAAAAGAAAAAAAGAAAGAGAAAGAAAGGGAAATCAGGTTTAAACTGTAGTCCCGATTTGTGTAGCGAATTGTTAAGAGTGAGAGCAATTTCTCGTTAAACGCAAGGTTTTTTAAGTTAAAAGAGAAAAATTTAAATAGTTTATAGTCGATTCGATCAGCGAGGAAATAAAAAAATCGTTATTCGGTTAAACCGGTCGCCGATTTTTCGTTTCGTCGAATATTTATTTTTATTTCCATCCGAATCAAATGAAAAACGAAAAGAGAGAGAGAGAGAGAGAAAAAAAAAATATGACAAATGAATTAAATTATCTCCGTGAAATTGACATTACGTTATTATTAACGATATCAAACAGTCAGCTCGAGATCCAATTAATCGAGACTATCGAGGGTATTGAAATCGAAGTAAATCGAATAAAATAAACGTAGAGATATCGGGGGATAATAGATTCGCGACTTTCGAGAGAATTATTATCAATTTTAAGGTTTTTCATTTTTATTCCCTCCGAATCGAAGAACAAACGAAGCAGTAATCAAATGCGGATTATATTTGTACGGTTTAAATTTCATTCAATTTTTACCGTATCCGCCACGCTGCCGGTAATACACGGTTGCCACGAATACATTCACGCGTATTCATACGATATTTAAATAACAACCAGCCCGCGAACACAGCATCAAAATACATAATTTATATTTTAAATATTACTCGTGTAATATCATATCCTGTTAAAATAGGAGTGAGCAAAAATCCAAATTTAAGGCGGGCCCGGTGATATATATTCCCTGCAACGTGATAAAAATTCTAAATGCAAAGCGATACGAAAAAAAAAAATTAAAATAAAGAGTTTATAATTTTAAACGGGGGGAAAATGAATTTTTCTTTTTTTTTTTTTTTTCAAAGTCCCTACCAACCTTTTCCTCTTTTCTCTCTATCTCCCGTTAAAACTACCCGAAAATGTATCCGAATCGGAAGGAATTTCTCCCTATTTCAACCATAAATCCGTCCTCCGGATTAACTCTCTCGCCCAACCGAGTTATTCGACGTTTCCAATAACGTCGCGGCCTGCGAAACGAACCTGCCAAGATACACGTATATATATATATATATACATATAGAGGTGCACCATTATGTAGTGTCCTCGGGGAGGAAACACACGTCGACTGTTAGAAGAATCGAAGGTCGCTCTCGAAGACGAGGGAAGCTTCGATCTCTCTCGAGGAGTGGAGATTAAGAAAAGGGAGGCGGCGAAAATCTTATCGACGCACGATAATGTAGCGAGAAAGCTTCCAACTCGAGGGATTTTCTTTCGTTGGCCAGCATCTTCGAAACGATCGACGCTTGCTGGACTCGAATATTTGCGGAGAGAGGAGCGGCTGGAAGGCGACACGGGCCGTGCGTGTAACACGAAGAGCGTCTCTCCCCGTTGACGAGGAAGAGGAGATGGATTTCATCCCCCCTCGTTACGCGATATTTCGCGAGACAAACGAGCACCGTTACTTTTCGCAACTTTTTAGTTAATCCGTCGCTGGAGAGGATACAGGATGGAATAACGGATATCCTGTCCGTGTATCACGAAACGGAGGGAGGCGTCGTCGATAATCCGGAATCACAGATGCAAACCGGTTGGCCGGCGCACGTGCGCGCCTTGTCTCTTCACGGCCCTAATTAATTTCGCGTTGTTCGTTAACAAGGACCTGGCCGCAACGACGCATCCAGCAACAGCAGTCGCAATATCCTCCCTCGTCCTCGCACCTGCTCCCCCGAGTATCTCTCTCTCTCTCTCTCGCTCGCACGACCTC